ATCTGGGTAGGCACTGACAACTCATGGGCCAAGATTTTTTTTTCTTTTTTTTTTAGTGGAATACAAGCAAAAATGAAGCCGTTCAAAAAATGTCATTAGGAAAGAAAGTTGGAAGTCTCTCTGCGTGTGAAGCTGGCTCACCACTTAATCAGTTTCTCATTTCCGTTCTGTTTCTGTCAATCCCAGTGAAGTGGATCTAGGTGTTTTTCTTGTTTTAGGTACTGCTGAAAGCATGTGTGTGAGCTGCCTAAAGGGGTGGAGAGAAAAGTTGTTCCTTACTTCACTTCTGGGACTGTCTGTTGAGGGCTTTACACAGGAGGTAACTTGGAAAGGCTTGTGAATTCCATTTACTGTGCACTCAGACCTGATGATCGCAGTAGGCTGAACATATAAAACCTTCTCTGCAGGCAACAGCCCTAGTGCAGTAGCTGTTTAAAAAAACCCCTTCCCTTTGTGGAGCTGGCAGATAGCCTGCATTTGCAAAGATGGGAATTTTTTGTTGGTGTATATGCCATGTTTAACACGAACCATCATGGCAACATGCTTTTAAAAGAAGCCGTTACTACCCTGAATAAATGGATGCTACTCAGCGTGCATTTTCTGGCTGGACTGAATTCAAGCCTCCCGTTCTGAAATGGATAGCTTTTTTGGATTGCGTTCACTTGTCTCTCAGACAAATCTGTAGTGCGGATTTGTTCCTTAGATGAATGATACACATTTCATCCGGTTTCTTTCAAGTTGAATTCTGCCTGGCACAGGAATGATAAATGTTTTTTTCTTTCTCCTTCTGTCTAGAAGACCATGTTGTACTGTGAAAGATGAACTTCATTCCCAAGACAGATGAACTTGCATTCAAAGGTGCATTTACTGATACATGTTTGTAGTGCTACTGCAGTGCTCTAGGCACCTCATCAGACAGACATATATTGTGGTAGTATTGAGCCTTGGTCACATTCCACATATCAGCCCTTTCGTAAAGCTTTAATTGGAACTTATATGTCCTTAAAGCCTGGAGGAGTCTTCTCTATACAGAGTGGATTATCCTGTTTTCTTTTACTATTAGTCTTTGGGGGTAGTGATGTAAATACAAGTATTTGAGCCTTGGAGCATGAAGAACTTCATGAAGTTAGCTGGCCATTATAAATTACATATGCATTTAAGAAAAGAAAATGCTAGTATTTAAGTAGGCTGCCAGCATGCTATGAATGCGATGCACTGTATTGATATAATATTTAAACTGTGTATTTGCATTTGCTATGAAATTGTGCCTACCTGATGTGTCATTTTTTTGAGTTTCCTTGATCCAGTGGATAGGGAAGCTCGGTGAGATGAGTACAGCCTAAAGAGCAATTCATGACTGCTTTAAATTAAACTCCCAATCAGGTCCCAGGATCAAATTTGGGACTGATGAGCTAACTGGCTCATCAAACTTGAGTTTGCTCCAAGCATCTGACTCTTATCCTGCAGTGTTAGCAGGCTCCAAGCATTACCTGTCCCTGTCACCTCCCTACATCCCATCTGCCCTTGTGGTGAGACCATATGTCTGAGGCTAGACAGACAAGATGTCCTGTGGCCTTTCTGATAAAGGCTGACATGACGTGATGTGAGGACACATGGCACTTTTAGACAGTCTGGATTCATGTTGTCTGCAAGGGCCATCTGGAAAGGAGAAGTTGGGTTGTGTCTCCAAACCTGTTTCTAGGAGTGGCCATCTCAGGTACAATTAAGCAAGCCTCCAGGGCTATAGCTATGGTCTTGTTTGTGCTGAAAACTTACCCAGCCTTTCCTAAAGCTTTAGATCCTTACCTACTTGTTAAGATATTTTTGTTTGTCTTGTTACTGGCATTCTTGTTGCTTAACTACAGTGTCGACAAAAGTTCGTGTCACACTGAAAACAAGATTTGAACTGAATCCAAAGACTGTGGAGCCAGTGCAGCTGTGCGATGGGGAGGAGCTGGTACATGCTTTCAAAGATTTGAAACTATTAAGTATATATTCCAGGAAATGGCATCTGAAATGCTTTTATTTCTGGTGATAATTGATGATTTTCACCAAGTACAGCTTTGATTCTTATTATAACTTCTTATCTCAAGAGTCTAAGACTAGCTGACCCTACTTTTGTGAGTTAGCATTGGTAGTTAGAGATGCCTGGTCTATTTTATTGTGGTACGTACATACACTAGGATACATTAATAATAGGAAGCACGCCATTCAGAAGCTGTTCTGCCAATATCTCTGTCTGCTGTATGGCCCCTTGTGTAACGGATGGCACCAGTCACCGCAAGTCACCGGTGGTGACCTAATGACCAGTCACCACTAGTCCCCACGTACTCTTAGCGCCAGCAGCATTTTTGTACAGAATCCCTTTCTGTGTGTGAGAGCCCTTCTAAGAATCGTCAGCCCACAGCTGGCAGAGTGTCTGAGGCATGCCATATACAGAGGTGGCAAAAACCTCTACAAGCAGTATAACCCATCCTTCCTAACAGTAAAACAGTTAGAGTTGCTGGCAGAAAGTGGTAAGAGTGTCGGTGGCTGTTTAGATTAGGAAAGGATCGGGTGTGTTTCAGCGAGGAAGATAGTGTTTGTTTAAGTTTTCCCTCCTGGGACTAGTTTAGTATTTCAAGCACGTTTGGAAACTTTTTTTTTTTCCCAGTGGAACTAAGATGTGGGCCGGACAGTGTGTGTGGATCCGAGAGAGTAAGACGTAATGATGCTTCAGAAAAAGCGATTGCGTATCCTATAATGCTAGCTTTGTTTCTGAGTGCCTGTATAGACTCTCTCAGTATTTGTTCGCTGACTTTTCTTTCAGCTTAAAATACACAAGAAGATGCCTGTTTCAGCCTGTTGGGGCTGACAAAAGACTAAAGATAGACAAAACTGTAGAGTAAAACGGAGCTGAAACCAGTCCTGTACAGGGAGTCCCTATGTGTGCTATATCAGTGGGAACAGCTGGGATCTGCTACTGACAACACTACTAAACCCACGTTTTTTTCCATCTGTCTGACTGTGCTTAGTGTGCATGCCCTGTCCAGCAAAATGGAGAGCTGAGACTTGTCTCCTTTTTATTCACTGTCTGTGGGAAGGTTATTTAGAGCAACATTGTCTGAGTCACGTTGTCACAAGCTAGTTTGAAGGCATATACTGTATGTAAAACTTCTCCAAGAAGATGAGGAGTAGCCACAAAGAAACATACTTGTACAAATCACTATTCAGAGATATTGAAACATAAATACAGATAGCTCTGAAAGAAAAGGCCAGGACCCCGAACATTATTGGCCAGGAAAATGGAAATTGTTAAAAGAATGAATGGGAGCAGCCACAACCATTGCCAAAATCATTACGGTTATCAAACTGAAAAATGAGCCTGGCGGCAGCAGTACCTCCAGATGGCCAAACAACGAGACTTATTGGTAATCCATCCGTTTGCCCGATTGGTATCTCATCCACCCACCAGTTCAGGGAGAGACTCCAGAGTAGTCCCAAAGGAGCTCCCAAAATCACAGGCACTGAGCTCCTCTCAGTCCCTGAGAAGGACTCAGCCTCCTCAGCAGTTACACGGCCACCGATGGTCCACAGGTTCAGTGGAACCTATGCGCGAACAGCTCACCGTGATGTTAAAACAGATGATTTTTGAACACTGCAGATCGTGTATTGCAGGTGGCTGGGCTGAAGCACTGTGTGTGCTGCCAGTATGGCTAAATGCATGTCAGCAATTAAGGACCCCAGGAGGTCTCTGAAAACTGATGTACAGGCTTGTGTAACTGCCTCGCAACACGACTTTTCCCAGCAGCATGTGATTGCTGTAATACGGAAGGGAGCTTTGCTCTACACATGCTAAGTACCCTTATCTCTCAAAGTGGCCTGACTAACATAATTAGATTAAACTAAGAGGAATTGGGCCTAACCTTGTGTCTAGCTTGGATTTTGCCACTCCTTTTCAGACCCAAAGAAATGACTTTGAGCTTGAAAGCCTGCCTGTTCTTTCCAGTTATACTAATCAGCCTAATAAAAATTTTATGTGTATGTTCTCTTCCTACAAACTGCTTCTCTCTTGCTACGATACAATTATTAGTTCCATCCTGGAATGATTGGCATGTATATAAATCGGAATAAAGAGTTCTGACCTGAACCACTAACTAAGTTTAATTAAAAAAAAAAAAAGCCAAAGCTGCTGTGCATTGGGGTAAGAGCCCTTTGCCAGCTGACTGAGGAAGAAACCCCCTCCCCAGCAACTGACCATTAGGGCTGGAAGCCTGAAGTCACTGGCACAGAGGATGTGGGAGTACATAGAGCACGAGTCTTTTCTCATAAATCAGTCTTAACTGTAAAGAAATTTGCAGCTTTTTGTGACCAGCTCTGCTCCTTAGACCAGTGTTAAGAACAGTGCCCGGCTCCTGTGGCATGGAAGCAAACCTGGTTGAGGAGCCTCTTCCCAGCTGGCATGGAAACAACCAACTTTCCAGGTAGAACTCAAGGAGATTGAAAGGGGTCCTGAGTCACAATACAAAAATCCGTAGAAGCAGTTCTTTGTTCTGGGATCGCAGTTTATCACTACTTGATATTGACATAAGCCAGTTTGATGGAGGAAATTCAGAGTAAGAAGCAGATGAAGGAAGTGCAATAAACAGAAAAATGAAGCTTCTACTTCTCAACATGTCTTTTTAGCTTGAGATTAAGAGGCTGAGTTTAAACTTAAAAAGACAGAGATGGAAATGAATAGTGGAAGTGTTCCTCTTAGGTTTTTTGTTTTGTTTTGTTTTACTTTTGTAACAGTTACAGTTTTTGAATTCTTAAATTTGTCATTAACATGGCACTATTTATTAATATGGTTAAAAGTCAAATCCAAGTGGCTACCATAATACTAAGTTGTCCTCTCCCCAAGTCACCAGTCATCTTAAAGAGACAACTTTCTCCATAAAACCTCTGCTTTATATTTAGACAACATTGTACATATTTAATGTCTAGCTCATTTTAAAAACTACTAACGAGGTAGAACAAATAGATGCTGATGTTACAGCAAACCTCACTGTTTTTCTTTATTTGTAACCTTTTCTATGATTCTAATATTGCAGTATTATTTCTTCTTCACACTGACCAGCATCCTGATGACCAATGGCAAAAACTTGATGTGGTACCAATAAACACTACAGTAGTTAAAACAGTCCTAGATGTCCTTTTGCAGGACATAACCACTATGAAGTGAAGTGTGTGTCAGCTGCATTAGCCAAGTAAAGGTGCCAGGGACTAGTTCTCACTTCCTCTCCTATTTAAGTGACTCCTTTTAAGGACAAACAATCCTCCCCTTCAGTATGGAACTGAAAAGTAATACAGAATGATTCACGCCAGATAAATAAATGCTTTTCAGTTGCAATCATTCCCTATTGAGTTGAAGTGGTGTTATGCTGTTTTAATCTCATCAGTTCCAGAAAGCATGCACAAATGAAAGGAAGTGATTTTAATGCTTTAGGAGGGGGAATTGCAGCTTGCACAGAGTATCCAGCCAAAGGAACAGGAATAACTTTACAATGACTGAGCTCAAATCTATGCCACTTTACAACTTCCACTACAATAAATTTAATTTCTCCACTTCATTCCTGAAAAATTAACCTCGCTTGATAACCCCCATGCGTCTCATCTGTCTGCAGTTTCCACAGTATTTGCCACTGAAGAACTCAAATGAAGTGTAACCCTTGTTCAGTTTAATCTGGTTGCCACTGGGGCTCCCACACACCTTCACAGGGAAATTCAACTTTTACTCATATCTGCAGGATATCAATGAACATACACAACAAAACTTTTGAAATGGTCATTCTGAGCACAAACGCAGGCAGAGGAATACTCCCCACCTAACGCTGAAACACAACCACCTCTTTGGTGAGTAGCATAAGTAACATGACAGCTTGTAGCAACACTAAATAATCATCTAGCCTGGAGCAAAAATTGAAGCAGTGGGAATGTACAACATTTGAATCAGCATTCGTTGGGAAAACATTTCTCTTGTGACATAGAAACCTCATTGACTGCAAATATCCAGAACTTTGATAGCACTGTGCTTAAAGCTGGTAAATTCAGCAAAAAGTACTTCAACGCTGCGATTAGGCCAGAGATTTTGTTAATAGCTGGAGTGAGCTGGCCACATGAGAATGACCGTTGTTCCTGAGGGTAACACCTGTGCACTTCTGGGAAGATTTCTTCCCATAAACGCCAAACTACTACTGTGTGAAAACTTTTCCCATGAACAACAGGAAGCTCAGGTCCTGCAAAACATATAGATTCCAATGAGACTGTAGCATGAGATGGTGCAACAGCCATGACACTAATTTGTCACAAATAGTTTCTATGTTCTGCCCGAATGGATCTCCCTCTCTTCAAACTCAGCTCTGTAGTGAAAACACTTTGTTTGAGATATGAGTTTGTTCTTTCCTTTCGTTCTTTAATATTCCTGGAGAGGTGAGGTCTGTCACTACTGTTTGTGTGGAATAGCATCCAGTTTCCCAAAATGTCCTATTATTGATTTGAAGAGGATCATTTGGTATTAGCCATACCATGCAGATGTTGCAGTTAGCATTTCTGATGTTTGTCTGTGCTGACAAACAATTCTGCCAAGGAGTTTGCTCATTAAAACAGCAGTGAAACGCAAACATAGGTGAGACCTGAACGCATTTAAATTAAGTTTTTCGATATGCTTAAATAACAACAACAAAAAAAGTAGATAATTTTCCTGTATTACTGTTGATAACACAAAGGTGTATTTCTAACGTTGTTCAAAGTTCAGTTTTTCATTGGGTTTGGGATCTATGGAAAGTCTTTCCTCAGTAAAGAGAAACAAACAAACAAAAAAATCTCTTTTCCCAGTGGTGCTCGTTACCGATGCAGACTTGCTGTCAAAATTGCCACTACACTGCAGAAATATACACAAATCAAAAGCCTTCATACACTGGAAATTTAACAATTTAGCAAGCAAAATATGCAATTCATATAGCTGAAGAGAGCAGGCACCAAAAAAAAGGAAGTATGTTGTCAGTTTGAGTTTTTTAATATAATTTAAGAAATTTAAGAATATTGTCTTGAAATATTATTCATATATCATGCCAGATTATCTGAATTCAGTTCTACCACCATAGCTGCCTTCTGGTTGGAAAAAAATACATGTTAAAACATTGTAACTATCTAATTTTTATTTTTTTTTTTTAATTGAAGCACTGCACAGAATTAGTTGCAATTATAAAATTTCAGATCAAACTACTTAAAATTCTGGAACTAAAAATATATATATGTGTAAAATTAGCAACGTTGAAAAATCTAAACAGATCTGTTTTCATACTAGCCGATTGTTCACTAGCAAATATGCTCCACCTCTCTACTAGGAAACAGCAGATGAATTCTTGCAATTCTCTTTGTAATTGTGATCCAAGTCCTTCTGAAGCCAGTGGAAAGATTTATATTAAGACAGCTTATTAGGACTTCATTTTACACGTGTTTGTCTCACTAATATGAGTGCTTATTTCATCTTGTTTCAGAGCTTCCAATCTCAACTTTACAGTCTGTAAAGAGTTGGGGATTTTTCTTGAATTTGAGATAGTCTATTAAAGAGAGCGCTACGAGATAGCATCAGACATTTGTTACTGGTCCACGGCAAGATTCCAAACAGCATCAGTTCTAAGAATATCCTTTCGATAAATTTTGAGATAACAAATCATACTGACCACAAAAAATGTCCTTAGGTGACACCGATAATGAAGCAGAGTCGCTTTCGATAGGCAATTCTTGCTCTTGCAGGTGTACTCTCACAAGGCTGGGAAAGTCTTTATTTTTGGGGGTTTCCATGGTAATGTTGGCAGTCCTAAATGGAAACAAAAATATTTAAAAGGAGATGTAAAAAAAAAAAAAAAAAAAGGCAAGATTCAAATGTGACTGAAGTTTGTGTTTTTCTAAGAGTAGAAAGCAGAAATGTTGTACATGGTTTTAAAAATCCTATCTAAATTAAATCCAAAGACAAATTCAGGCACATTTTTACAAACTGTTGTGGGTTTGGCATCATAAAACACAGTTTAAGGAAAGCCTTTTAAGAATCGGCAAACACAAAGCAACTCCTTTCATGTTTTGTTTTCTGAAATAGGCAGCCGTTTTCTACATCTTGAATTTCTACACAATCCAAATAGTCTTTGCAAGGACAAAAACAGTTGCTGCCAGAAGTACGTAACACAAAAATCCAAACAGGTTTCATTTATTTTAGAAATAGCCTTTAAACATTTTGAATGCTTAAAATGAAATGTAAAATGTTAATCTTAAATTAAAAGAAGTCATCTGAGACACTGAAGAGAGATTTTGAAATTTACTTTTTTTCTCCTGAAAATGAAATCTTGTCAGAAACTGCACCTGCATTGCAGTGGGACGGCTGCTTCAGACCGCGCTCCCTGCCATGCCTTGCCAGCCTCCGGCAAAGCAGGGCACGGCCCCTGCGGTGCAGCCAGTGGTACAGGTTTCAGGAGAAAAGGTCTAAACAGCCTCTGGAGCTGGAGTTTCCAATTTTGTCTCAGAGAAAAGAATGGCCACAAACTTAGGAGAGTTATGAGAGGATGACAGGATCACCATTCTATGAACCTTCCTCTCAAAAGAAGAAAAAAAGGAAAGAAAACCCCACCCTCTCCTCTAGAATGAACTGCTGTCCTGGAACCCGCTCTAGAAC